CAGGCAGCCCTACCCACCCTGCTGCTGCTCTGGAAGCAGCTGTGTGGCCCCACCCATGCGCTCTCAGTCCTGGGAAGCAATCATGCAACCAGCCCTGACTGGATTGGCCCACAGAGACCCAGTGAAGCGGAAATGTGGCCCTGCCCATCCACCCATAAATCTGAAAGCAGCTGACCAGCCTTTCCTTAGCAGTTCAGTACACAAAGGCCTCCGAAAAGCAACCAGGTGGCCCTAACCTCTGTCTTATGCCCACTGAAGCCTGAGAAACACAGGCTCAGCTCTGCCCTCCAACCCTCATCCCTAGGAAGCAGTTGGGAAGACTTGCTGGGCAGTTTGGCTCCCAGAGGTCCTATGAAGTTACCTGGACAAGCCTTGGGCTGACAGGTGCCTTGTCTGGGCACACTGGTGAGGCCTGGCTGCCATGAGGCCCTCAGACTCTGATAAGCACCTGTGTCTGATACTGGGCACATTGGACCAAATACACTTGGACCCACAGGGGTGACGCCGCTCTTATATAACCCACAGAATCTGCATGTACCGTGTCCAGAGCTAGTAGTGAGCTCACTCCACCTCAGAGAGCTGCACCCTAATTGGTGCTGTAATCCCACAACTACTGCAGTCCAAGCTACTGAGATACCCATAGGCATTGCCAACAATGACTATAACTGAAGAAGCTACACAGACATTACATGAAAGTGCCCACCTGGAACCAAAGACAGCACAGCAAATCCAACCAGCAGCCAAGGACACATCACCTACAGAAAGTCTTTTACTAAGAAGACCACCCTATAAGATTGGTAGAAATAATTGGCCCACTGTATGCAAAAAGATCAAGGTAGGGACACAAGAAGCATGAAAAATCAAGGTAACATGATACACCCAGAGGAACACAAGAACTGCAGAAAAAGGCCACAAAGAAATGGAAATATATGAACCTGACACGACCCAGTCAAAAAGAAAAAAAAAAAAGAGGAAAGAAAGAATGAAAGAAAGAAAGAGAAATTTTAGTGAATAAAGCCTCATTGGCCACCATTAAACAAGCAAATATCTGCACTACGGGTGTTCCAGAAGGAGAAGAAAAGGGAAAAGGCATAGGAGAACTATTCAATGAAACAATCGATGGATTCTGCAAATCCTAGGAAAAATACAGTCATCCAAGTCCAGGAAGCCCGAAGACCCCTAAGAGATTCAACCAAAAAAGATCTCTGAGGTTACAAACTGCCAAAAATACCAGACAAAGACAGAGAGAATTCCAAAAACAGCAAGAAAAAAAAGTTTCCAAGTCACTTATAAACAAATCGCATACGAGACGCTGGTGTTACAGGTGGCGCCTTTTACCTGCTACACCACAATGCTGGTCCCTACTACTAACTTATCTCCCTACTAGTGGTTCAGAAGACCTCTTACTCCTTAGCAGCTTCCCCAAATTTATTAACCTGACACTTAAAAACTTTTGCCAATCTCATAGGTGTAAAATAACTTTAACTGATATTTTCTTTTTTAAAAACATATTTATTTATTTTTTTGAAGGGCATAGAGGCAGAGGTAGAGTTAGAGTTAGAGTTAGAGTTAGAGTTAGAGTTAGAGAATCTCCCATGCACTGTTTCACTCCTCCAAAAATCCCCAGTAGCCAAGGCTGGACCAGGCTGAAGCTAGAAGCTGCTAACTCAGCCCAGGTCTCCTAAGAGGGTATCAGGGACCCAAATACTTGAGCTATCACCTCCTGTGTATCAGCGTGCACATTAACAGGAACCTGGAATCAGGAGTGGAATCAGGACTAGAAATAGGCACCCTGACATGGGATGTGTGTGTCCCAGGTAGGATCTTAACCACTAAGCCAAAGACGTGTCCCTAACGTGGTGAGTATATTGTCATGTTTGCTGTCCATTTATGTTTCTTCCTAAATGAATTGTTTGATTACAATCTTAATCCATTTTCTACTGACTACTTGGCTTTTTTAAAAAATATTTCTTTGAGACACAGAGAGACACAGAGGGAAGGAGTAGCAGCCAGAGAGCCTTCAACCTTTGGTCCACTCCCCAAATGCCCACGACGGCTGGGGCTAGGCTGAGCTCAAAGCCAGGAGCCAGTAACTAAATCCAGGTCTCCTGCATGGGTGGCAGGGACCAACCTCCTGAACTATTACTACCACCTCCTAGGGTTTGCATCAGCAGGAAGCTGGAGCAGGCGTCAGAGGCAGGCATTGAGTCCAGGCAGTTCAATATGAGCTGTGGGTATCTTAACCAGCATCTTCACTGCCAGGACAAATGTTCACCCCTGCTTTTTGTTTTAAAATTAATTCTGGACCAAAACTTTGTGCATGTTTCAACTGCCTTCTCCTAGTCTCTAGCTTGTCTTCTAATTTTTATGTTTTACATAGTTTTGTTTATAAGTGGTAAATATTATCTAATTTACCATTATGCTTTTAAAATATGGTTTAGAAAATTTTTTTCTACACTCATAAAGGTATACTAGAGTAATGACAACACTAATGTTGGTGCTGGTGTTGTGGCGTAGTTGGTAAAGCTGTGGCCTGCAGTGTTGGCATCCCATATGGCCTGTTCGAGTTCCGGCTACTCCACTTCTGACCCAGCTCCCTGCTTATGTGCCTGGGAAAGTAGCAGAAAATGGCCCAAGACCTTGGACCTCTGCACTCACGCGGGGGACCTAGAGGAAACTCCAGGTTCTTGGATTTGGATTGGCTCAGTTCTGGCAGTTGCGGCCATCTGGGGAGTGAACCAGCAAATGGGAGACCTCTTTCCACCTCTGCCTCTCTGTAACTCTGCTTTTCAAATAAATAAATAAATATTTTTTAAAAATTTCAAAGGAAAAAGAAAATTTTTATAAAAAAACACTAGTGCTTCTTATATGCCAGGCCATGTTTTAAGTGCCTTAAATAAATTAATCTTTTAATCTATCCCATGAAGCAGGTATTATTATAATCTTTATTTTATAGATGAAGAAAGTGAGGCGTATGGGCAGGGTGTGATTCTCCCAAAAGTTTTAAAGTTTTACTTTTTGGTATTTAACTGCTTTGGCATTTACTCTTATGTATAGAATTTTTAGTAATTAATTTAATGCCTCTTCTATCTTACACTAAACTCTGACTCATCTATGAGTTTGTCTCTACACTTTCTATTCTTCCCCTGCACCAGTACCATGCTGACTTAATCAAGGCATGGATGTTGGCACAATGGTCCTTCTATCCAAATTATGTTTCTTCAAAATTATTTTGGCAAGTTTTAGTCCTATGAATTTTAGGGTTACCTACATAGCATAGCTGGACGTTCACTCAAAGTCCCTTTCAAGCATGCAAATACCTATTTTGTGCCCACCCCCAAATCAGTGCAAACAAATTTGATCAACCTCCTTTGCAGTGAAAAAAGAGATTAACAAATCATTAAAATCTAAGAAAAACAATCTATCCCCTCATTATCCAGCAATATAAGATGTTTAGTAAAATGTGGTATACCCATATAATGGAATAATGTGATACCATTAAAACAATGAAGACATCTAAGTTAGTAATATAAAACAGATTTCTGTGATACTGTTAAATGAAAAGTTGAAGTACAGAACCATGTATATATGATAACTATGGCATAAAAGTGAAGAGCAGAAGTTTATATATATCAGGAAGGATATACATAAAAGTAATCATAGTGGTTCCTTGTATGTGTTGGTATATATATATGTGTGTGTGTATGTGTGTATATATATATATATATACGGTTCGTTGTATGTGTTGGTAAGGGTGGGGTAGAAATTGTGCTGCTAGGGCCAGGGGTGGAAGAAGGTCTTTCACTATATGTATTTTTTTGATTTACCAACTATGTGAACCTGTTACCTAATTGGAAAAAAAATGAGTAAATATTTTCATTTTCTTTTCATTAATTCTGCTTCTTTTATCATTAATATCTCTTTAGTGTCAAAAAACAGATAAACTGCGAGTCTTCACCATATGTTTCTTTGTTGGAAGGGGTCAATGAAGCATTGGAAATGTAAGAGCAAGTACTCCAAGTCTTCTTTGTGGGTCAAGCATTTTAGGAAAACCCAAAACCATAATTTGAGAATCAAAGTGGAACTCAAAAATTCTTACAGGATCAATTTGGATGCCAGGAGAAAAGGATTTAAACAAAATTAAAATCTAAATTCATAAAGTTAAAGAATTTTTAAAAAACTGATTTTTAAGAAGTTTCACTTTTTAATTTAAAATTTAAACAAATACGTAGAGAAAAACAGTGTAACACCGGAGTCATCTCACACTGGTCATGAGAAGTCAACTGTGCAAATCTTTCTCAACTCCACACTTGCTGAATAGCATTGGTTCTTGCAGTTGGCTATAATGGGAGCATTTACACCAGAGTAATTAGCAAACGCTACATTCTCTGTTCCAAAGAGAATTCATTTGGTAAATTTGCCAACACACCATCAGATTAGGGGTAACTTTAAGATCTATGAAAATTCAAAATATGCAATAAGAGAAGAGATATTCTGCAGTATTATAGAAATTTTTAGATATCACAATTTCAAGTGAAAAAACTTTATGGCTAGGGTAGCTTCTGACATAAAATTTTCTCTGAGGATGCACTCTATATGGGTTGAAAAAGTTTTAGAATTGGATTGCTAATAAGCAAGCCTTCTAGTACTTTCTCAGTTCTCCCTAATATAAGGTTGAGTATAAATGAAGGTAAAGGTACCATGAAGATAGAACCTACTTTATCACTCATGGATGATATGGATGGATATGTTTCAAATACTAGTATCTTGCTTTTTCATGTTTAACTGCCAAATCTTCTTAAACTTCTCTAAATTTACATGCAAATGTAGCAGAGGGAAAGCAATCTTTTTTATATAAGAACACAGAAAAATACATAATAAATTCATACTGCCAGGCACACATTTAACAGTAACTCATTAAATAAAAGCTGGATGGGTTTACTGATAATCATTATAAGGAATGATTCTTAAAAATACAATGAAAACAAATAACTACTTACCCAGTTCAATACAGGTGATCCCAAGTGACCAGATATCAACTTTCCCATCATACTGTCCTTCATCCATGGCTAAGATCACCTCTGGGGCCATCCTACCAAACATAGCACACAAAACTCAAGTTGCAAATTAAAAACAAAATCCCCTTAATAACGTGATTCAGTGAAATAGCTGTTAAGAGTATTCGAAAATTTTATCTAACACAAACCATTTTGAAAAATATTATTCAAAATATAACTACATGAGGAACAACACATTGTTTTCTACAAATCCCTGCTCTGTCCCTTACCCTCAGCTTCCTCGTGGGTAAGTTCCTTGACCTATCTGTAGTTTCTTCACCTATACAATCAAGTGTGTTCTAGTAGCTACCTCATAGAGATTTATAAAGGATCAATATACTTGAAACACAAATAATCAAGTTACCTTAAACAACATGAAAAATACTTTACATCATAACAACATAACACAATATAGTCGGGGGCCAGCGCTGTGGCACAGTGGTTAATCCTCTGCCTGTGGCGCTGGCATCCCATGTGGGCACCAGTTCTAGTCCTAGCTGTCCCTCTTCCAATCCAGCTCTCTGCTATGGCCTGGGAAAGCAGTAGAAGATGGTCCAATCTTTGGGCCCCTGCACCTGCGTGGGAGCCCTGGAGGAAGCTCCTGGCTCCTGGCTTTGGATCCGTACAGCTCCAGCGATTGCGGCCATTTGGGGAGCGAACCAGCGGAAGGAAGATCTTTCTCTCTGTCTCTCCCTCTCACTGTAACTCTACCACTCAAATAAATAAATAAAATCTTTTAAAAAATATACAGTTATTCCAAAAATTATATAACTTATGAAAACAAATAAACAACCCAGGCTATGGTAACAGGTACTACTTTTGCACACAGCCTGTTTCTTAGGAGGGAAGAGGCCCTGTCAGTTTTTAATGCTTGGAACAGAAAGAACTGTGCTCTATTATTGAGTCTGTGTAGTTGTTTAGCAAATGGTATTTGATGATGATGGCAAGAAATTCCAGTAGCAGCTGATTTTTTTTTTAAGGTAAGGAGTTTTCCAAGGGTATAAGCCATTCTCTAGGGTTTAACGAAATTCTAACTTCTCTATGAAAGAAGGAAAGGAATATGGAATAGAATAGGGCAAAAAACTTTAAGCCCAAATGACAAGCCAGGTGAAGCATCAGAGAGTACAGCGAACACAAGAACTTTGATTCCTTTTACCGAAAGGTGACGTTCACGCTCGCTGGCTAGGCAGAGAGCTAAAGAAGCCGCCGTGTCCTTACCTGGAGACGTGGCCTCCAGAAAGAAGTTCAAAAGAAACCTCAAAGGGAACCTAAAACCTGAGCTTGGCTGGTGAGTTGATAATCCTGCTCGGTTTTCTCATGGTGACATCAATGCTATTTCAACAATCTGTAGTCACTGAAGGTTTATACTAAGTTGGAGTGTTTCTTTGTTTGCTATTGAGTTTCTATTGTTCTCAGATGAAATCTCACTGGTGAGATACTATCAAAAAATAAGTAAATAAAGGTGGCTAGTGTTTGGCCGAGCAGTTAAGCGGCCACTTGGGATGCCAGCATCCCATATCAGGGTGTCTGGGTTTGAGTCCTGGTTCTGTTTCAGATCCTGGATTCCTGCTAATGTGCACCCTGGGAGGCAGCAGGTGATGGCTCAAGTGTTTGGTCCCTGACCCCGTGTGAAAGACCTGGCTTGAGTTCTAGGATCCTGGTTTCAGTATGGCCCAGCCTTTGCTGTTGCTGGCATTGGGAGAGTGAACCAGCAGATGGGAGATAACTCTCTTTCAAACAAAATAAAAGCAGACAATTCTAAAATTTAAAACAAAACAAAAATGTTTTGAAAAGAAAAAAAAAAACCTCTTCACTACAAAAAATAGAATCAATGCCATGAGTCCATCTTGTTCATCCACACACATTTAAAAATTCTTTTTAAAAAACATTTATTTATTTGGAAGTCAGAGTTACAGAGAGAGAGGGGGAGAGAGAAATCTTTCATCCATTGGTCATTCCCCAAGTAGCTGTAATGGCCAGGGCTGAGTCAAGCCAAATCCAGGAGCCAGGATCTCCATTTGGGTCTCTCACATGGGTGGCAGAGTCCAGATCCTTGGGCCATCTTCTGCTGCTTTCCCCAGGTCATTAGCAGGGAGCTGGATTGGAAATGGAGCAGCTGGGACTAGCATCCTTACGGGATGCCTATGCCACAGGTGGCAGTGTGACACACTATGCCTCATTTTAAAATTGTCATACTTTCTAATTCTACATACCAGTAAGGCGTGCCCACGAAGGAATTGGCAGGAGAAGCCATGGAGGCAGATCCAAAATCAGCTAGTTTTACCTGACCTGGCTCTGTTAGAAGAATATTTCCTGCTTTAATATCCCTGTACAAAAAAAAAAAAAGAGAGAGAGTTATAAAATTATTTTTCAATTTTGATTATGGAATAGGTCAGAGCATGCAATTATTAACACAAAAAAAATTAAAAAAAAAAAAAAAGACCTTTCTCAGACAGCCAGAAGGGGACTTAGTAATTACTACATGTTGTAAGGGAGCCCAGATTCCTGGGTGTACTTACAGGTAGGTCATAGTAATTACTTAAAGGTGGAGCTTTCTTCTGAGGGGAGGGGATAGAACGAGACAAAAGGCAGACACGGCAGACAGGGAAACCTCTTCAGCTGCTGTGCTTCTAGAAGCCCATTCTTAAACATGCTAAGTGCAGTAGTCATCGACGGCATTCCTTGTGCTGGGAAAACTGGTGCCATTTGCAACTGCCTTTGTATTTTTGTTTCCAAACTCCATGACATTTTTGGAGCCTAGGCAAATCTGCAGCGATTCTATTGTCTACCTCCGAATAAACCTCAACTACACACATACCTTTTTTTTCTTGCCTGTGACCCTTTCTCTCTGCCTTTAATTGTAACTGCAACTCTAAGGCATTTGAGGGTACATGTTACATAGAAGGTGTTATTTTTATAATAACACTGTACAGTAAAAAGAAGACCCTGAAAGATCAAAACAAACAAGGATTACGGGTTAGGAAATTACATTTTTACTGTATCACTACAAAGAATCACAAGTGGTTACTACTAAAGCTATTAGATGTTTTATGCAGCAAAAGTTTTTCAAATATGATTTTAAAAATTCATTGTTTAGTATGGTAATTTAGAATGACGAGATGTGGATGTTTATTCCTTAGTCTTTTTAAAATAGGCATGAGATATAATGACTACTAGGAACTACGAACTGTAAATTGATGGGCCATGGAAAGATAAAGTGGAAAGAATGAAGAAAATGAATGTCAAGTTGAAAATGACAAGCTTCAAATGCTTCCAAAATAACTTTTGTAAAAACTTCCCTTGAAAACTCAGTTTCCTTCCTCATGATGACATTAGGCATTGGCACAGAGAACTAAAAAAAAAAGGATTATTTATTTCTCTTTACAACAGAAAAATATGTTTTCTCTATTATTTTTAATTAGAAGACTGAATTGTCTTTTAAATCAAAATAATAAAAATCTAAGACATTTATTTTTAAATTTAAAGAAAATTCTTTAGTTTTTTGTCTTTCCCACTTCTAGTACATACTAAAGAAGATAAAGTTTAATATAGAATAAAACAGTAAGTTAATGTACAGAGAGAGTGTAACAAAGGCACCAAAAAACTGAATTATGGTTTTTCAAAAGAAGCAGGTAATAAGCAAATTGGCATTCAGTAGTAAATATCTCGGTACCAAAGAGATGCATCTTTCAAAAAGTTGTCAAATCCACAGATATGGGAAATGTATTTAACCAATACTTATTAGACACGGATAGGTTCAGTCTCCGTCCTTCTAGATCCGCTGAATCCCTGGCAGGACTGCGGCCTGTCCATGCTGGGGGAAGTTCTGCTTTTGCAGTACCAGTAACTGGCGATGGTGAATCCAGGGTGATTAAAACAGAAACAAAAGGGGAACCTATGATCTCACAGTTTCACTTCTTCCTAGTAAATGCCAAGTGTTTTTCTTTTGTTTAAGAGCCATTTTAGATCCTTTGTATCTACCAAATATTCCATTATTTCTCCCACTATTCAAGCAACTGCTATGAGCTTTTTCTGGAGAGAAGGAAAGACAACACCTTTCTTTAGGAGAAATCAGCGTAGGGAAAGAGGTTGTAGGGAAGACTTTGGGATTACAACAGAGGAAACACAAGGTAGAGGAAAGTGTGGATTAGGAATCGGGAAGTTGAGTTTCAATCCATATTACTTAAGTGCTTGTGAGACTACGGGCAACTTATTTAAATCTTTCTGAGCCGCAGCCTCTTCATCTACCAAAATAAAGATAATACCTTGCTGAGTATCTGTATGAATTATAGAAATGCAAAATATTTTAAAGTGGTAAAGCAGCGTATATTTATATAAGATTAACTTGCTATTTGCAATTAAAAAAAGAGAGAGAGAGAGAAAAGAAACTCAGCTAAGAAATAACATGCAAGGAAGTTGAATTTTCCTTTTGTCACAGTGTCATAAAATGTTTGTGGCCCTTCTGCAAATGTCCTGGTAACACCCAGCCTGGAGAATGGTTACCTGCAGAACAGAGACGACCTAAGTCTTAGTGGATACATGGAAGAGACCAAGAGGTAGGAGTTAAATCCCAGCAACTCTGCTCCTCACATCTGGAAGCAGCAGCAATCTATCTGCTTCCCATATGACCTGAGGCACCCTAAACATTGGAGCAGCCACTAGTTTTTAAATTTCCCGGACTAGATAGCTCTGTAACTGAAATGCAAACATAACTGGCCTCTACCCTTACCTGTGAATCAACGCATGGGAATGCAGGTAGGCCAGGCCCTGCAAGGCACCATGAGTAATGGCAGCAATCTCCACTTCCTGAAGTGGTTTCTTATGAACTGGGACGGAGAGGGGAAAAAGTCAGGAGTAGATAATCAGCTTCATTCCTTTTTTACTATCTTATACAGCCATACCAGACTGAATGACACACCTTCTCAAATGACAATTTGAGAACACGTTCACCTACATACACAGGATATACATTTTTCATAAAACAGCAGTAAGTGACCAGTAACAGGAAAGTCCAGTGAATAAAAATAAGCACTTCCAAACAAAACAGGCAAAGCCTGATACTCATTACATGAGGCACTGATTTGCCTGTCAGTTAGTTGCAAGTCAAAGCCACTCTCGTTCCTAGTGGCCAGGCCCAGGTTCACTGGTCTCTTTTGACATTTTAAATCTTGGTGTGATCTAGGGCACAGATCTCTGCCACAAAGCCATCTCTAATCACTGCTTCTAACTACAGGCTTTCATTATTTGTGAAAGCAGCTAATAAGCAATTTCTACCCAGAGATCAAGGATAATATAAGACATTTTAATGTGAAACTTTAACATAGCTTCCTGTGCTTCTGGTTATAACTGCATTTGCAGAGGAGAACTGGGTCACTCAAGGTATTTGAAAGGGTTAAATATCAATGTAAAGTGATGACATCTACCCCTCTTTCATACAAAATGATGAATTCGATGGTTCTGCTACATATATCATGTTACATCAGCCAAACCCTTTAGCAGTACCTGCTGTGGATAGCCATGAACTAAACAACAGGAAGTAGATCCTCTCAGGGACAGGGCAGAGACGAAGTGTGCACAGCTTACTCACACAACCCTGACGCCTGGGTCCCCAACCAAACTGCACGCTCTCAGCACTGGAGTAGGTAACACATCGATCAAGGTAAAACAGGAGGGGGGTGTTTTCACTCTTACCTTCTAACAGATCAGAGGCTGAGCCTAAGCAATACTCCATCACCAGCTGGAACAGATTAAAATAATAACAAGAACAATGAAGGTTAACAAGAAGCTGCAGAAACAAACCAGCATACATCCCAAGGAACCAAGAATACCAGGAAAATCAATATTCTGATTGACCTGAACCTGTATTATTTTGGTCCTCTGGCACTAATTGATCTTTATAACTTTTATCATCTCAGCTTTTGTTATCTCCTACCTCAATTTGCCTGAGATTATAAGATGACTGGTTAAGGAACAAGTCACTGAAAATGGTCCAGTTGAGATTGCCAGTTTATCCAATTACTAATTTCCCTGCTGCTTTATTTTGAAAAAAAAAATTTAAGGTAGCCAGGTTGCATTAAAAGTTAAATTTTGTAACTTATAAAGTGTCAAACAAATGTATAAGCCAGTAGAATCCATAGTGGGAAATCCTAGTGAAATAAAATAAACCAAGAAGTAATGAATTCCTTATTTGCACTTTTCTGTTTTAAAGTTCTAAAGAAACACGTATGAGGGTACTTCAGAAAGCATGTGGAAATGAAATGAAAAAGTTATTTTGGTGCAGTTTTCGAAATTCATGCACACTTAGGATCTTCCAAAAGTCCATGCGAAATGTGTACTATGAAAAAAACTGCATGGATTTCAAATTCTTTGCAACACAATAAACTTACCATTTTCCATGAAATTTTAAAAATGCCCTTGTGCTGTTGAAGTCAATCTAAAGATATGGCCTACTATGCATCATTACCCTGAACTCTTCAGAGAGATGGGGTATCTCAATTTGCATCTCAAACTAGTTCTAGAATGATATTATTAAAATACTATTCATATTTACTGGGTTTGAAACTTGAGAGGCTTTCACAAAGCAAAGATGAGACAATTATTTCTTTACTCTCATTCTGGATATTTCAGGTGTCCCAAACTACTGACTTGTAGCCAGAGTCACTGCTATAGATTCTCTGTGCACATAAACACAAGCACACAGCCCCTACAAGTTATTATCCTAAAAAACTGCATATGCTCATTACGAAATGCAAATTTCCTACAATCAGCTGGATATAACCCATGTTTACGTATTGGTTCCTTTCACTTTTAAAAAATTAAAGCAAGGGCTGGCGCCGCGGCTCACTAGGCTAATCCTCCGCCTTGCGGTACCGGCACCCTGGGTTCTAGTCCCGGTCGGGGCGCCGGATTCTGTCCCGGTTGCCCCTCTTCCAGGCCAGCTATCTGCAGTGGCCAGGGAGTGCAGTGGAGGATGGCCCAGGTGCTTGGGCCCTGCACCCCATGGGAGACCAGGAAAAGCACCTGGCTCCTGGCTCCTGCCATCGGATCAGCACGGTGCGCCGGCCGCAGCGCGCCGACCGCAGCGGCCATTGGAGGGTGAACCAACGGCAAAGGAAGACCTTTCTCTCTGTCTCTCTCTCTCACTGTCCACTCTGCCTGTCAAAAAAAAAAAAAAAAAAAAATTAAAGCAAAAACACATTTTTGTATTATGTACCTCACATCGCTAACATAATTCAGAATATAGGAAAAGTTCTGGAGTTTGATGTTTAAAAACTTTACTACAGTTTCATAGTTATGTATTATAATTAATATATTGAATAAAATATAAAATATTAATATCAAATGATATAAATAGATTATATGGTATAACTTTTTAGTGTGTTATATTTATATTATAGAGTATGTAATTATATATTAGAATAATATATTTATATTTAGACTATATATAGTGCAACTTCTAAAATGTTTTAAACTTTAGAAATTTTATCATAGTTTTGTTTTACAGTAAAAACATAAAAACACTGGGGCTAGTGCTGTGCCATAGCGGTTAAAGCCTCTGCCTGCAGTGCCTGCATCCCATATGGGCGCTGGTTCTAGTCCCGGCTGCTCCACTTCCAATCCAGCTCTCTGCTGTGGCCTGGGAAAGCAGTGGAAGATGGCTCAAGTCCTTGGGCCCCTGCGCATGCATGGGAGATCCAGAAGAAGCTCCTGACTCCTGACTCCTGACTTCAGATTGGCACAGCTCTGGCCATTGGGGCCATCTGGGGAGTGAACCAGGAGATGAAAGACCTCTCTCTCTCTTGATGTCTTTCAAATAAATAAATAAATCTTTTTAAAAAACAATAAAAACATTTATTTGTTATTATGAAATAAAATATTCCACATATGTAGCTGTTATAATGAACCTTTTATGTGCCCTACTTCTTTGTTCAATTTTGATGGCAATATATCTAAATTGTACCACATAATTTTCTAATTTAAAAATGTGCTATTGAATATATACATTTCTTAAACAATTTATGCATATGTAGAGAACTTTAAAATTGAATGGAATGGATATGTTTATAGCTATATTCATATTTTTAAAATTACATGTTAAAAAAAAACTCAGCATCTTTGCCACAAATATTTTTTTCCTAGTTACTCCATGATACAAGGCTGCCTGAACTGGGTGTCTGCTCCCAGCACTAAGCAGCTCCAGCCACTGTGACTTCAAATGACCAGATGTGAGTTCCTTAGGGTCAGTTTGTCCTTGTGCCTGTTTGTGTGCCTGTCTCTAGCAGCTCAGCTCTTACGGCTCCTTCTAATTAGCCTGCAGACAGAAACCAGGTAACCAAACTTACTAGCACTCGTGTAATCTCAGAGTAAACAGGCTTCAACAAAGAGCTCCCAGGATTTTCTGAAGACTTGAAACACATGAGATTTAGCACTTGGCTTTTGTAACATTTATTCTGCCTGCTCGAAAACACTTTCCTGGCTCCTTCAAGTCAGCTGAGATGGCCAGAGAGCAACCAATTTCCAGATAAGATGCTCCTCTGATTAATTTCTTCTGTTCAGAATGGAAGCAACCGCTTTAGGTATCTCAAAAGTTGCTTGGACAGAAATGGTTAAGTACACTGTTTGATAACCAGGGGATAAAAATTCCATTCCCTAATTAGAGGTCACACACAGAGAAGGACTTGGTACTTGCACCCAACAAATGACAGTTAAGCTGAACATTAAATTGGAATGTGTAATCTGATAAAGTATAAAATATAACAGTTTTCTATTCTAAATGGTGCCTAATACGCTACCCTCAAAATAGAAACACAAATTGTGTAAAAATAGACTTAGAAGATAAAGTGGAACAAAAGGCGTTCATTTTAATCACATGGTGTGTCCTGTTTGGTAGAAATTACATGGTGATGATAATACCAAGCACAGTTTCAAATTTGGGGCAAACTGGAGTAGGGGATAAGAAATGACACACACAAATTCTAGGACAAGAATAAAAGACTGCCTTTTATGTTCACAAATAACTCATTATAAAATGATGTCAACTTTATATCATCCTTGTTGAGTGTGTATAGAACAGAATTTCCAGTAGGCTAGATGGCACAGTTACTCTCATGGACTATGTAGCATACCTGTAGACACACCATATGACACACTCTGAGGTTTTTACAAATGTTGCCTACTGATAACAATAGCCAAATGGGACAGAAATGGTACTGGTAGTTATACAGATCAGATAGATAATTTTTAAAAACAGAAAAGGAAAAAATTTAATGGGAAAGATAGATAGATAACAGGGGTCCTTTGACTTACCCAGGCAGTGTGCTCTTTCAAGTAACAACCTTTGTACTCAATGGTATTAGGATGCTTCAATTGTCGTAAAAATTTAACCTCCTTAAGAATATCTTGCCATTTCTATTGAAATCAGAAAGAAAAGATTTTAATTCTAAATGTAAAATTGTGCTTTATTATCAAGTACACATATGTACAATTCTTTTTATTATTTTAATGGAATGGAAAAGTAAATATTTAATAAATGAAGAAGCTGTTTAAACTTGTTTAATGTCTTTAGTCTGAGTCCATGTAAATGTGAGCCTATCACCAACTCTAATAACGCACTCATGGTCTATCTTGCTAAATCGGTGACTGGGATGGACTATTAGGAACTTTTATTATAAGCTCAACGAGAAGTAAAAAAAATTGTGCTAAAAATATCAGCAGAATTCTGTTAGTTTCGTATAAAATTGCTTAGATCAGTTAGGTATGCAACTGTTGCTGTCTTACCTCATGTGTCTGCTTCCCACTATAGGACATTTTCTTAACCGCCACCACCTCATTGGTGTGCGCATTTGTGGCCTATGTTGAAAGGGCAGAAGAAAAATAAAAATAATTAATATTTCAGTCTGTTTGACTTAAATATTTAACTAGCGACTTTTAAAGCAATAACCTCACACTTTAATATCACAGTTCAAAGATGTTCTGACTTTTAATAGGCTAGGTAGACATTTCCACCACCACTCTAAGGATCACACTCTCTCTGACTCTCTCTCTCTCTCAAGATTTTATTTATTGGAGAGGTAGAGTTACAGAGAGAAGGAGAGAAAGAAACAAAGGTCTTCCATCTGCTGGCTCACTCCCCAAATGGCCGTAACGACCAGAGCTGAGCTGATCCCAAGCCAGGAGCCAGAGCTTCTTCAGGGACTCTCACTTGGGTGCAAGGACCCAAGCATTTGGGCCATCTTCTACTGCTTTCTCAGGCCATAAAAAGACAGTTGAATTGGAAGAGGAGCAGCAGGGACTTGAACTGGCGCCCATATGGAATGCAGGCGCCACAGGCGGAGGCTTTAGCCCACTAAGCCATAGCGCCAGCCCCAAAGAATACCTTCTCTTTATCCCTGTCTGTATACATGCAAAGATTATAATATAAAAAAGGACTGGGGTTTAATAATCAAACCAAAGAAAAAGTCAAAATAGCCATACTGGCTTCATTGTGTAAAGTGTTCATCAAAGGAGGATCAGCTAATTAAACATGATACAGTCAAGATAGCCAATTAAAAAAATGAGGTAATCAATATGTCATGTAGTGATATGAAAGGATGTCAAAAATATCATGTCAAAAAATACACTGTGTAGTATGATCCTATCTTTGCAAGGCAGTGACAACGTGAAGAGTATATGTACACAAAATTATAAAAGAATCAAAACCAAAGTGTGTATCAATGATGATCCTGAAGCAGTGCTGTCTGATAGAGCTTTCTGTGATGACAGGAATGATCTCCACGTTGTTACCACAGAAGCAGGCGAAATGTGACTGGTATGACAGAGAAAATGAATTTTAAAATTTAATTTAATTTTACTTAACTTTAAATGACTACTTAAATCTTAAAAAAAAACAAACAAACAATTCATTGAAGGTACAAATGAAAATCATAAATAAGTTTTTTCCTTTCAATTTGCATCTAAGATTAATTTTACAAAAATATTCAGAAAAATCTAAGACAGTAAAACTTACAGAGACAGGGTCTGGCGCTGTGGCATAGCAGGTAAAGCCAGCACCTGCAGCACCGGCATCCCATATGGGCATTGGTTCAAGTTCTGGCTGCTCCACTTCTGATCCAGCTCCCTGCTAATGGACCTATGAAAGCAGGGGAGGATGGCCCAAGCGCTTGGGCCCCTGCATCCACCTGGGAGACCCAAATGAAGGTTCTGGCTCCTGGTTTTGAATCAGTCCAGCTGCAGCCAGTTGGGGAGTGAACTAGTGGGTGGAGGACCTCTCTGTCTCTCCCTCTCTCTGTAACTCTGCCTCTCAAGTAAATAAATCTTTTTGGGGAAAAAAAAAACCTACCTTTTTGAATAACAAGGCTCTGCATCAGTGCCACACCCTGATGAAAGTGAGCCATCTTGATTGCATGAATGTGAACCAATAATACCATAGCAGAGATTCCAAGGTAAAAGATTGGAATTTGTTCACTGATAAAATTAGGTTCTCAATTTTAGAGAAAAATTCCTAATCAATTTCTTAAATATAACTAAAATCTCTTTAGGTATGCAAGAATGGTTTATAATTTCAAAAACAGTTTAATTCAAACAATAAACAATAATTTACTAATATAAAAAGAATTCAACCCTGAATTCTTACTGAATTGCCAAAATGCAGAGAAAATGAACACATTAAAAATTATTTTAATGCACCAGATAAAAGAACTTATCATATAAATGTGGGTATCCACTATTTTTAGTTTTTTTTTTTTTTTTAAGAGTTATTTACTTATTTGAAAGGCAGAGTTACAGAGAGGCAGAGAAAGATCTTCCATCCACTGGTTTACTCCCCAGTTGACCGCAATGGCTGGAGCTGTGCTGATCTGAAGCCAGGAGCCAGAAGCTTCTTCCGGGTCTCTCACGCAGGTGCAAGGGCCCAAGTACTTGGGCCATCTTCTACTGCTTTCTCAGATCAGAGCAGAGAGCTGGATCAGAAGTAGAGCAGCCGAGACTTGAACCGGCGCCCATATGGGATGCCAGCACTGCAGGTGGCGGCTTTACCACTGTACCACAGCGCCAGCCCCTATTTATAGTTTTCAAATCTGCAGGACTCCAGAAAGGCATTTTTTAAAGATATCTCATTGATTTAGAAGGAATAGATTGACATTTGTCAAAAACAATATCTCTCATATATTTCTGGCATTTAAACTTTAACACATGACTGTGCCTAGATGACAACAAGAACGAAAAGAGTATTTTGGCATAAGTCTACAATAAACTGTGAAGCTTAAGAAGTGTAGGAAAGATTTAAGAAATATACAGTTTTTTTTAAAATAAACTTTTTTAAAAGATTTATAAAAACAAATTCTTCGCAGCAGATTAAGCCATAGCCTTCAGCGCTGGCATCTCATGTGGGCCCCGGTTCAAGTACTGACTACTCCATTTCTGATCTAGCTCCCTGCTAACGTGCCTAAGAAAGCAACAGAAGATGGCCTAAGTCTTTGGGCCCCTGCACCCACATGGGAGACCTGGAAGAAGCTCCTGACTCCTGGCTTTGGCCTGGCCCAGCCCTGGCTGTTACGGCCATTTGGGGAGTGAACCAGCAGATGGAAGGAAGATCTCTGTCTCTCCTTCTCTCTCTCTGTAATTCTATCAAATAAATAAATAAATAAACCTTTTTTTAAAAGAAAAAGCAGTCTACCCAAATAAAATCATATTGCTTTATTATTTAATTGCTTATTAAAATTATTTATAATCAATGCTATTTGAAACTAGAGATATGAGAAAAGAATCATCCTAAAACAAAACTGTATTTTTGGTCGGGCTTTTGGTATAGTGGTTAAGATGCCACTTGGAGTGCCTGCATCCCATGTCAGAGTGCCTAGGTTCAAATCCTCACTGCACCCCTGTTTCCAGCTTCCCTTGTGCACTGGCAGAAAAGATTCGGATCTCAGCTGGAGAACAGGGAAGAGCCTCCAAAGACTTTATAGTGAAAAGGGAATGTGATCAGATTCTCATTTTTTTTCAAGGTCATTGAGGCATGGACAACAGACTGGAGAGAGACCAAAGTGGGTTATTGCAGTTTTCAAGTAGAAGACAACATCGTCTTTTTGGTCCGAGTGGTACAGGAAGAATCTAATAATAGCGATAGAGGCACAACATATAAAAATGTTACCAGGATCAGTGAGGAAACTCATTTTTAAGGTTCTACCTGTGTGATAACTGTAGATAAATAGTTAAAGCCCTTTGTGAGTTTTACATTAAAGTGCCAATTGTTTTTAATGTCTAATGGACAAACATAAGGCTTGCACTATTCACTTCTGTCTACAGATAGAGTTAATGCACATTTCAGTACTAAATCCACCCAAGTACCTATGATTCTCTAGTCTATCATTAGCGACAAATAATGCCTAATACCCACTGCAAACAGGGTATTGTGCTCGGCTTTAGATGAAAAGGCACACACTCTCCACAATAGGCAGATTTGGCCCCAGAAGGAAATAATCACTAGGTCGTCTGCAAGGCAGGTCTCATGTTCCCCCTATTACAAACGATTTGTTAGTTAAGGTTCGAAGAATGTTTGGTTTACTGCAGTCATTCATTCTGAAACATTACAAGTTTGAGAACGGTCTGGTGGCTTTTTAAAACAGAGAAGTCAAATAGAGATTAGAACCGCCCTCTGACTGTGGCCAAGAGAGCCTGAGACAGGGTGGATTAGTTATAAAGTAATAGAGGAAAACATGACTGAAGAATGTTACATCTCGGAGCATAACAAATAGGTCACAAATAAATAAATACAGAATGTTTCTATTTATAAAAAGTTCAAAGCTGGGCAAAACCAAACTACATTGTGCAGGGATGTAAAAGTGAAATGTATTGAACATAAAGCAAAGCAAGACAATAATTACTATGAAAATCAGGGTAGTAGATTACTCCTATGGGGCTGGGGAGGGTTGTGATGGCCAAGGCCACGAGAGGGCTTCTGGAGCACTGGAAATATTGTATTTCTTGACCTGGCCAGTGTTTTCACACAGGATATACCTTTCAATTATTTTTAAAAGTATATATCAATATATATGTATGTGAGCCTTATGTACACTTTTTCTATATATCTACAATATAAAATGCTCTTTTTTTAAACAATGAATGAATGTCCAAAATCAGATTAGTGGTTTCCTAGGATCGGGAATGGGAGTGTATACCTAAATCAGAACAAAGAAGAATGTTGTGGGATGATAGAGTTGAGCTGCATTTTAGAATAGTTGCATGGGTGTATTCATTTATTCATGAAAATGTACACTTAAAATAGATACACTTTTATTGCATGGAAATTATAGCTCAATAAAGTTGATTTTTAAAAAAGATTTATTTTATTTATTTGAACAGCAGAGTTACAGAGAAGGAAAGACACGCATACATACAGAGAGAGAGAGAGACTGATCTTGAGAGAGCTCTTTCATTTGCTGGTCCACTTCCCAAATGGCCACAATGGCCAGGGCAAGGCCAGGCCGAACCCAGGAGCCTGAAACTGCATCCGGGTCTCCCACGTCAGTGGCAGGGGCCCAAGAGCAAGGGACCACCTTCTGCTGCTTTCACAAGCACATTAGCAGGGAGCTGGACTGAAGGCAGAGCAGCCAGGACTCAAACCAGTGCCCATATGGGATGCCAGCGTTGCAGGTGGCAGCTTGACCCATTGTACCATAATGCCGGCCCCAACGTGGGGAGGGTTATCTAGAAAATGAGCACCCTGCAGAGCCATGAAAGGGCAGTGAGTGACAGAACATACTTGAGTGGGAGTGAGTAATAGATGGGGACAAGGGAGGGAAGTGATGGGCATGCTGACCATTAGACAAGGAAGGATAAGGAAGAGAACAGAGAAAACCCAGGCTGGAGATTTGGCTGGAAGCCCAAAATGGCACTAAAGATGGACTTTATTTTATTTTATTTTATTTTTACAGAATTATTTATTTATTTGAAAGAGTTGAGCCAGAGTGAAAGGTCTTCCATTCCATTCCATCGTAATGGCCAGAGCTGAGCTGATCCGAAGCCAGGAACCAGGAGCTTCTTCCAGGTCTCCCATGCAGGTGCAGGGGCCCAAGCACTTGGACCATCTTCTATTGCTTTCCCAGGCCATAGCAGAGAGCTGGATGGGAAGTGGAACAGCCAGGACTCGAACTGGCGCCCATATGGGATGCTGGCACTGCAGACTGGGGCTTTAACCCACTGCACCACAGCGCTGGCCCCTAAAGATGGACTTTATAAAGTCTCATTTGGAGGCACAAATAAAGATAAGCTCTACCCAGATGGCAGGAGATAAAGGACCATTTAAAAGGAAGAGGTAGGAGCCAGTGCTGTGTGGCAGTATGCTAAGCCTCTGCCTGCAGTGCCGGCATCTTATATGGGTGCCAGTTCAAGTTCTAGCAGCTCCTCTTCTGATTTAGCTCTCTGCTATGGCCTGGGAAAGCAGTAAAGAT